TTTTCGAACTTAAGAACGGATTTATCACATACTGGGTGGTAATGTAGGATATCGTGAGGAAAACTTTTGCTTGAGTTGAGTTACTTGTTCTATTCGTGAAGTTTATTTTGTCTTGGAGAAACTATTGAAAATTTCCTTTACTTTCCTTTATTACTGTTTATCTTACTCATTATATGCAAGATGCTTAACCCACCAAAAACATAATTTTAACTAGCTTTACATACTGTGTGTGTGTAGTGTGTACTAGTAATAAATAAATAAATATATAAGTGAATAGAGAGAAAGAGAGCCTAGCTAAAGGTCAAAAATATTAGGAGAAATAAAAAAAAGTATGTACTATCAAGAATTATGGAAAAAAGGCCTATTATTAATCGACAAAAATACAGGATAATAAGGGGATTTCCGAGCGAATCCAAAAGTGTGTAGTTTTTTTTGCATTTCTGTATTAGGACTATTAATACTACCCAAAATGCGACTAACAAGTTACACATGTAATAACTATAGGGATCCATTTACACAACTACGCGAAAATGTGTTGTGTGTGTGTATTGTGCGCGTAATTGTTTAACCACATTTGTATATGAATTTACGAGATATTTTTTTAATATTTAGACACATTAATTCATATTTCACAATAAATCTGGTTGATTTATTTTGTCATGTTTTTATGTAAAATTTGTACATTTTAAACTGTATTTGGTCGGCATAAACTAAAGTCATTGTCGATACACTATTATTATAAATTTATTTATGTAATAGTATTCCTTTTACGTTTTTTCTTTATAAAAGACAACGGAACCTAAAATTATGTTATCTGTTTGAAATAAAATTGCCTTTTTCAATGTTAATAAATATTTCGTAAAACAATGAGTTTTCAAAATTATAAATAACTTAATTAATGATTTTTTGTTAATGTACCTATGTAAAAGTATAATACTTTTACAAAATGAATTTAAAAATTGAATGTAACAATCTATATTTAGAGGTACAAACTATTGGGAAAGTTAAATTCATTTTATTTACGATATCATTTTAATGCATGGTTAAAACTAGGTAGGTACCATTATACAACGTAATCGAAAAAACGTTCCCATGAACATACTTAGAAATTAAAACAAAGGTGTCACAAACCGCTTACGCAAATGAGATTGTAAGTTGTATTTGATCCCTGTTATGTTAACGATTACGGTTATTTTGCACTAAGTGTGACAAAACATGTAATATCAAACGACTATCATTTTTTGCCAACTAACGGTCACGCGCGTATAAGCGAATGATAAACAATACAAAGAAAAATTCTTTTGACCGGAGTTAGAGACATACATAATTAGTAACATCCTACTAATTATGTATATCGATGTGATACGTGTTTGCGATATAAACACTATTTTTTAAATATATATTTATATAAAGGAACCAATGGTTATAACCGATACGAGATATTCCGCTTTGATATAGTTTATTTAGATATAGTTTATTTTGATATAGTTTATTTAGTAGGGAAAGTGTTAGTAATGTTTATATACTCACACTACAGTGTGATTTAAATAAGTATGTTGAAGCTTATCTACTTAAAAATAAGGATAATATTTTAATGATAATGACTTTTTTACCTTTAAGGTTTATTAAGATAAATAAAAATTTAGTTTAAGTTTAAGAAAATAATAATATTGTAAACAGCCTTATATACAATTTATAATGTTTTTGGTAACTATATTTTTTTAAAACTGAATTTTCATGTCAAGTGAATTAATAGTTACAAATGAAAATTTTAAAAGCTATGCAGTTTTATAGGCGAACTAAAAGTATTTTAAAACAAAAACTTAAAGAATCATAAAATAACGCAAAGCATTTGATGATTGTTTAAAACATTCAAAATTTTTTTTTTGTTTACGATATTTTATTTTTACTTTATTGTGTTATAAGTATGATATAGGATATGAATTTTAATATTTTTAAATTATGAACAATTTTTTTTGAATCTTTTACACCAAGTTTTGTTTTATTGAAAAAAAAAATTGTAATTCAATTTTTTTTCTTTTTGCCGATGTGCGTGTAGTGTGTGTGTTAGTGTGTGCTCATGTAGCTATATATATATATATATATATATATACCAGGCGGTCCCATAATGAACTGGCCTGATATAGTTCAACGCGACATGTCGCTACACGTTGTGTTGCATTAAATAGTACGTTTATTGTGCACTTAAAATAAGAAACATGCATCGACATGAAATGCTTAGTCTTAGTTTAACAGGCGTTTGAATAACGAGAGTCGCGTATTTTTTCAAAATGTCGAAAACTGAGTATCGAAGTGTCATAAAGTTTCTGTTTAAAGAAGGTTTATCCCCTGCGCAAATAAAAGAACGATTGGATGGCGTGTATAAGGAGTCTGCCCCCTCCTATAGCACAGTGAAAAATTGGGTGAAAGAGTTTCGCCTCGGGAGAGAAACCGTCGAAGACTTTGGCCACGACGGTCGATCTGTGGAAGTGCTCACTCCCGAAACGATTGCTCTTATCGAAGAGGAGGTTCTGAGTGACCGCCGTTTGAAGATTAGAGAAATTGCAGCAAGGCTTGGGCTCTCTAAGAGTACCGTTCATTGCGCGATCCATGAACATCTTCACATGAAAAAAGTGAGTGCAAGATGGGTACCGAAACTTCTTTCAGCGGTACAGAGACAGGAAAGAGTGCGCTGCGCTTCGGAGTTTTTGGATCTTTGTGGCGAAAATCCAAAGACTGTGATCGAGCGGCTAGTGACTGGTGATGAAACTATGAACTTGTATTATGATCCTCAAAGCAAGCGCGAGTCAATGGAATGGCGTTATAAGGGTGCAACGCCCCCTAGAAAGGCAAAGGTGCAACAATCGACTAAAAAACTGATATGCACAACATTTTGGGATTTTCAAGGCATTTTGATGGTGGATTTTAAAGAACGTAATACAGTCGTGAAGGGCGAATATTATGCTTCTTTAATATATAAATTACGAGACAAGATAAAGGAAAAACGAAGAGGCAAGCTGTCTAAAGGTCTAAACCGGACGGTTGCTCCATGACAACGCCCCTGTTCATACCGCTGGTGTTTCGAAGGATGCAGTTCGTCAATGCGGGTTCACAGAAGTTCAACATCTACCTTACAGTCCAGACATGGCCCCGTCCGACTATTATTTATTTCCAAATTTAAAGCGGGACTTAAGAGGAAGAAAATTTTCAAGCGATGAAGAGTTGCAGGCGGCCGTCTTCAGTCATTTTGAGGATAAAAAATGTGATTATTTTTATAAAGGTTTAGAGATGTTGATTCACAGATGTCAGAAGTGTGTTAGTATTCATGGTGATTATATTGAAAAATAAAATTGGTTTCGTTTCATTTCCTTCATTGGTTCATAGTTAGGCCAATTCATTATGGGACCGCCTACGTATATGATAGCCTAATAGACATTCAAGGAGTAATAAACCTACAGTCAAGACCACTAGACGTATCATTTATTCCCCGAACCTCCCAACATTACATTTTCTAGCACGGCTTCCGGCAAGTACTTGTAATACGGCAATTTTGCGGTCTACCAGAGCTGACATGCCTAAGTGACTCCCCGGGATGGGGACAAGTTCGACAGATGTCGACAGTGCCATCCTTTAGGATGTATCTCCGATAGTTGTTGGGCTTGATAACCTGATCCTGTATTGCACAGAAAAAACCCTTGGTTTCCTCGAAGAGGTCACCAAAGCGTAACTAGTAACGGAGGCTACTGTGTTTATGACGGTCTCGGAAGATGCACTCTATGGGACGTTACTATAGTGCGGACTTTTCTATCCTGGGCGTTAAGTTTCGTCTGAGACCACCTGAGTATGCCAAAGGTATACATGATGACATGCATGACCTAACCGTTATATGCGTGTGTCTTATCCACATCGGACAAAAGGACTGTTAAGCAATTTGATCAAGCAGGCATAAAACACGTCGCAAACTGACTGTTTCACACCAGGCTCATCAACACGCATGTTCTGTGACATACCCAGATATCGGTATTTTTCAGCCTTGGATGGGGTCTTTAAGTTAACAAGCATAGATAAATTTATCACCTGATTAAGCTCCAGGTGACGAGTGATTTTCGCGTTCAAAATGAATGTCAGTTCCTTATCTATGGTGGGTAGCTACGTGATGGGACGGTATTTGCTCGGGTCTGTGGTATCCTGATCTTTATGAACCAAGTGGGTGATCCTAGTAGTAAAGTGGCTCGGGAGCGTCTTCTGGTCGAGCCTCTTGAAACTATCGAGTGAGCACAGCGTGACACACTACTAACCCCTTCAGCCAGTAATGATGTAGCCTGTCAAGCACTGGAATTTTCTAGTTCGGGGCCCTACGGACCACCTCAACCACGTCTTTCGGTGTTATGGTGATGGGTTCCATAGGCGTAACACTCGCACTCTGGCTTACCACAGCTATCACAGCCATCCAAGGGTCCTCGCTATGTTTTACGGGCTCTGACCACAGGCCACGCCAGAATGCGACAGTGTCGGCCTGATCTGAATCTGGTCCCGCTTCAAATACCTCCGGTTGCTCCAATGATTTATAGTGCCTTTCTGATCACTCTGGAAGAGACAATTCTGATTAAACCGCCTTGACTTTTTGGTAAATTTTCGAATTCGACAAGAAGCGATTTTTTCTTCAGGTCATCTATGCTCTCCGTTAGTTTCTGCGTGATATCGGGCTTGGATGAACCGATATTTATCACAACAAACGCCATTATAACAGTGTGTACAAACCTCGGGCTATTATTACCCTACCTGAAGCCTGTCAGTCTGCCGATAAGGGCCCTTGCCTTTGCAATACCGTCCTTGATTATTTTTCTCCAGGCTGGGATGGCGCTACTTTGTCTAGTAGCGCGTCCAGTCATGGGAAGTTTAGCGCCAATAATACGGCAAACTGCTAATGCGACGCTACAAAGAATTGAGCAATCTCGCAAAGGTCCCGGCTGGTTTCTAAATAGGTTACCAGCATTGAGTTAAGAGCCTGCACGACAGCCCGATTCCGCTTGCTTAGGGGTATGCGGGGAAGTCGCGGTCGATTTTCGAGAGGCGTACTGCGCGTTTCCAACATCGCCTCTTCCAATATGCTCCTCATTATTTTTTAGCTCGTGGGAGACTATTCCATAATCGTCTGAATCAACCACAGCTAGAATATCCACGGTGGCATCCACGTATGTAAGGTTGCTATGCAATTCGTGGCGCCGCATACCCATAGCATTTTCATACGATGACGGAACAGCCTCACGTCGTAGTCGTTCGAGTTCGGCGTCACCTAACATCTTGGAGCGCAGAATGTAACAAACCTGAACTGCCAGGTTTTGCTCAGTGACGGTTAGAGATGGCTCCAGCTCTGCAAAAAAGCGATGCATCCGAGGCCGATACGCTAAACTTCCAGTTTCCTCCCCTTTTGGCCTAAAGTACACCCGCAGCGCGTTTGCGTTCATTATTTGTGACCAACGCATGTGACGTTCTCCACCAGCGGCGGGTGCCGCTTCCTGAGCCAGAGAAAACCCAGCTGACACCAAGCCTTCTGGTGTAGATGATGGACGCTGGGGACTGCTAGGTGGTCTTGCAACGCCCCGCGCTCAGCTGGCGGCCCGCATGCAGTCGCATCCAGAGCCAGTTCCAGGCGCACCCGGGAGACCTCCAGGCAGCGGCCCTTTTGAAATAGAAATAGAAATAGAAACTTTTTTTATTCAATGTAGATTATAAAAATACTTATTGAAAGTCACTTTTTTTAATTTACCACTGGTTCGCAAAAAAAAACCTCTGTCCTGGGAAGAACCAGCAAAAAACCCAGCGGGACTATTTTTTTTTTAATAATAGCTTACAATCATGTTTACAATCAACAACACAAGACAAATTAGAAATAGCTTGGTAGCGATCACCCTTCCCAGGGGTTATTATCATCTATAAATTCCTTAATATTATAATAACCCTTTTTATACAAACTTAGTTTAATAACATTTTTGAACTTTGTGTATGATAAATTTTGTATATTTTCTGGGATTTTATTGTAAAAGCGTATACATCGCCCCAAGAATGAATTACTGACTCGGTGGAGTCGAGTAACTGGTACTACCAGCTTGTGTCTGCTCCTAGTATTTACAGAATGAATATCACTTATTTTCGCAAAACTACTTTTATTTTTGTGTACGTACATTACATTTTCATAAATGTATTGAGAGGCCAGAGTTAATATATTAATTTCCTTAAATTTTTGTCTCAGTGACTCTTTTGGTTTTAAATTATATATTGCTCTAATGGCCCTCTTCTGTAAAATAAATATAATTTCAGTATCAGTCGCGTGTCCCCATAGCAAAATACCATACGACATAATGCTATGGAAATAACTGAAGTAAACTATTCTAGCTGTTTCAACACTGGTAAGAGTTCCAATCTTTTTTTACAGCATATGCTGCAGAACTAAGTCTGCTAGCTAGTTTTGATATATGGGGGAGCCATTGAAGCTTTGCGTCCAGTGTGATTCCAATAAAAATGGTGGTATCAACAAGACTCAGTTCCTCCCCATTTAAAATTACATTAGTATTGACATGTTTAACATTAGGAGTTACGAATTTCATACATTTAGTTTTAGTTCCATTCAAATGCAAATTATTAACATTAAACCAATTAACTAACTTAGCTATAGCATTATTTATTCGTCGTAATTTAATAACTGTCGTTTTAATTTGAAAATTAATGAAGTATCATCAGCAAATAATACTATATCATGGTTATCCCCTACTATGTAAGGTAAGTCATTGATATATACAAGAAACAGAAAGGGGCCGAGAATTGAGCCCTGAGGCACGCCCATTTGTACAATCGACCCGGAAGAACTCATACTATTAATAACAACTTTTTGTGTTCTGTCACTTAAATATGAAATAATTTAAGAGCATCATTTCTTACACCGTAGTGTTGAAGTTTCCTGATTAATGTTTCATGGTGAACACAATCGAAGGCTTTGGATAGGTCACAGAACACACCCAAAGCATCCTGTGAATTCTCCCATGCATTAAATATATATTTAATCAGCTCAAAACCAGCATCAGTTGTCGAGCGACCCCTTGTGAAACCAAATTGATTTTTATGAAGTAATTAGATAAAGTTTAATTTACATTAAAAAAAATTAACAATTGATCAAGAATAATTTTTTCAAAAATTTTACTAAGTGTTGGCAGTACAGAAATAGGTCTAAAATTAGCGGGGTCCAATGTATTACCAGATTTAACTAAAGGTATTACTTTACTATGCTCCATTAAATCAGGAAACACACCAGATTTGATACTACTATTAAAAATAATAGATAGTTGAGGTGCGATTGTATCTATTATAGACGCAATAACTTTAACAGAAATCCCCCACAGATCGCCGGTTCTCTTAATATCAATAGTCTTAAAATATTTTACAATATCTTTTGATGAAACTTTATGAAATGTAAAATTCTTTGTACACACATTTACATTTTGTTTAAGTAATGATTCGGCGACGGTAGGAGAAGAATTCAGTGACTTAGTGGTTAAGTTAGGAATATCAGTAAAATATTTCTCAAAAACTATTGCAACGTCCTGATCTGATTTAGTTAATTTATTGTTAAAACTTAACTGGTAGTTTGAATTGCGAGAGTTGACCTTACCAGTTTCATCTATTATATTATACTCCATGTACATTTTAATTTTATTAGAAGCAGTCTTTATTTTGTTGCTTAAATACAATGACTTGGCTAAGGAGCACACTCTTTTAAATATTTTGGAATATTTTTTACATATTCCCTAAATTCGACGCTAGGATTATATGACCTTTCATTGTAAAGTTCATATAACCTTTGTCTACTCTTCTGGACTCCTACCGTCGCCCATTCATTAAATGCTTTACGATTATTCAAGGAGAATGTTTTAGAAGTAAAAGTATTATTAAATTCATTGCAAATGAGCTTAAATAATGTTGCATACAAAAAATTTGGATTACTTTGGTATGAAAGTAATGGAAGTTTTTTTTACTATGTTACTTCTAAACTTCTCCAAGCGATGTGCATTTACTGGAACAAACACTACTTTTTTTATCTACTTGTTTTTTGTGAACATAAGGTAATGAAACAAATTGTCCACAGTGATCAGAGCTCAATTTTTGAATTATACATTTATTGAACGGCTTAACATTTGTAATATTGTTATTACTATACATGTTGCTCTTATATTCAGCAATACGTGCAATAAATTAAAAAGAAAGACCCTTAAGTAGGGACTGAATAAATTAACCGACTTGGTATTACATGATTCAAAACTTTTTTACGATAGAAGAACTGAGTTGCGAGTCTTTTTTTTACAAGTTATGTTTTTGATGGTATTCCTTTTTACGTATTCCATAATCAAACCAAATAAGAAAATAAGAATTCAAATTATAAGTAGTTATTCCGAGTTATAATGAAATTGCAAGAGGAAATTTTTTCTCAATTCGATCTTGGTTTAAAACTAATTTTCTGTTACGTCGTTTGCACACAATATCATTGTAGGCCATGGCGCGTCGCAGAATTCGATTCTTTGATATAATATATAATAAGGTAGCTTAAAATTGCAATCGATCTTTATGTCATTAAGTAGATATATCGTATACTTTCGTTTCGAAATTCACGAAAAGTTCTCATATCATGTCTTGTAAGTGTGAACACACATTTACGTTTTATATTTTACTGATTTAAAGTGCAGATCCAAATTTCATTAGTTATAAAGTACTAAGCCTTTAGACACCTCTCACACCTAGGCATTAGTCTTCCCTCATTTCTCAGAGTTTTTTTTTTAAATTTTTATAATTGATTATTAACTTCAATTTTTATGAGTTATTTTTGATAAAGAAATTATTACATTATATTTATAACCTGGATTTGATAAGAAAATTAAGGGACCGTGGCAGCTAACCAACTCAATTATATTCTTAATTTATATTCATATTTTACTCCTTTTCCACGTCAGCCTGTTAACTGTGTACTACTGGACATACTGCAGACTTCCCGGAGCGTCGACGCCATTATGGCCGCCGAATAAGATTAGTCGACATTTAACATCTGTCAAGTGTAATATCCCTCAACAAGATGCAGGGGAGTACAAGCTAGATTGTGAATGTAGTTTCTCTTACATGAGACGAACAAAAAGATCTATAAAAATCCGCGTAGAGAACATATATCTGACGTGGAGCACCGACGTTCTGGGAAGTCTAGCATGCAGTCTGTAAACATGTTTATGACCGTCCCGGTGCTCCCGATCCTAATTTCAATACAGAAGATGGACGGGTGCTACTCTGCTTGAGATCCTATAATAAATAAAATTAAATACAAATCCAAGCATATTAGAAGACTTCAGGATACTGTAGCACTGTAAGCTCGTTTTGCATAGATCGTACCAATAAATATTCTGACATCTAGACGTCAAACACCCCACGCCCCTCCCGAGACCATGGGTGCTGTAAAGAACCCGAAAAGACAGGAATTGTTAAAATTAAACGCGACAAAATCCTTAAAATTAGTATCATTTAATGTGTAGTGTTCGCGTAAATATAAAAAAACGAGCTACCGAGAGGGGTATACTTGGAGTACTTAGAAATAAGGATATACGCAGCGGGGCCAGAGCGACCGACTCAGCCCATCGGATTAATAAGCTAAAGTGCCAATGATCCGGCCATTTAGCTCGAAGAACCGATAACCGGTGGGAAGAAAGGTTCTCGAGTGGCAGCCTCGTACAAGTAGGCGAAGTGTAGGGTAACCCCCACTAGATGGAGCGATGACCTGATGAGACATGCAGGATGTCGATGGATGCGGGTGGCTTAAGACCGTGCTTTATGGCATTCCTTGGGGGAGGCCTATGTTCAGTGGGCTTGTGAAGGGCTGTAATGGTGATGATGATATCATTATATTGTTTGAATTTTACTAGTCTTTACATTTAATATTAGAGTTCAATATGAAGACCTCAAGAATCAGAGTAATTATTATATATGAGTTCGTAGTTATAATATAGCAGAGACAGCTTGCATTGTCAATGCTGAGTTTGAAAGCTTACAACGATGATACTACTACGAACGAATGAATATGCCATGCATTTTTGGTTTAATCGGTTTCTTAGTAGAAACTTCGACCTGATACTAAGATCGACACCAAATACTCACTCTGGCCCTGCGCTTTGTTGGTAGTCCTATCGATGTATAAGCTGACTAAAAATAAATCGACAAACGTACACAACTAACTAGGAAAACAATACATACATAACAGACGAAAATCACTTAAAACTAACTCCATGATGACTGCATATCCTCTTCTTACATTTTATTATGAATTAATATATTACACTTCTAAAAATATATATAAGAGCACCATTTTCACTTATATCCGATTGTTTCGATTGATGATCTGGCAGTTGAGGAACAGATTCTAATTAATAAATAAATTACCTCTCTTCTATCTAAAAGT